CTAATCTCACTTATTACCAATGGTAAATCCACTTGTAAATGACCTTAGTTTAGTTGTAAATTCTCGTATCCTTCTTGTGAATCTTTTATCTTGATTGTAAATTATTATGTCCAACTTGTGAATGTTGACTTCCTCACTTATTGTCAATGGTTGTAAATTTGCGTATCCACATTGTGAATCTCTTTGTTGTAAATTCGTGTGTTTCACTTGTAAATGCTAACTCCTTCACTTATTGTCAATGGTTGCAAATTCTTATATTCCTCTTATGAAACCAATTGTGAATTTTATTAATTTAATCATCAATACCTATATTTAATTGAAAACTAACTTATCTTTGTTGCGAATCAACTAATGTTTGTTGTAAATCTCTATATTCTAGTTGTAAATGTGTTTAATTTATTTGTGAATGCATTATTCTAGTTGTAAATTTACTTATTTTTGTTGTCAATTTTTTTTTTTTTTTCGTTGTAAATTTACTTAATCTAGTTGTTAGCTTGTATTTATTAATTGGTATGAATTGTTGCTTCACAAGTTCCTACCACAATCACAACTAATTATTCTATAAAATTGAGAAATAAAAAATTCTTTGTACACAAACTACTACATATCACCCAAAAAAAATAACAAAGTACTCCAAATTAAAATGCCTTAATCCAAATTTGTACACATTGCGAACTAGTTTAAATCACATATTTAATTGAAAAATATGAATTTATATTTCAATTGAAATATATAAGTAAATCAATAGTCTTCCACAACCCCTAGAGCTGCCTAATCTCCATTGATGTTCACTTCACGAGTGAGTTACTTTCCACCAATTGCTGGTTTTTTATTTATTGGGAAAATGGGTGTTTTAAAAAAGTTCCTTTTCCCTCTTTTCTTTTACTGAGTATCTAAACCCATGATGGGGAGATCAAATAAGTTATGACTGAATCTAATTCCTTGGAAAATTGAAGCGCATGTTTGAAAGCTTGGGCTTCGCTTGTTTTGCTTCAGATTTTTGGTTGTTACACGGTGCGCACTTGATATTTGATACAAGTCCAGCGAGTGGAAACGAAGCTCCAAAAAACTCTCTTTCCCCCTCTCTCCCCCCTCTCCCTTCTCTCTCTCTCACACACACGCCCAAATTGTTCAATTTCTTTTTCTCATCTGTCACCCTATAGCGTTAGTTAATATGTGGCAACTTGATATATGAAACAGGGAAGCCGATTGCCATCCGTGATTTCAGTTCCAGACGCAATAAATTTTAGGGGCAATAATGTCTTTTTGTTTAAAAAATTAATTTCATTTGACACTCATGAGACAGCAGCGAGGTTTCAGATTTTCTGTGAAGGCATTTGGAGATAAATTAGCTACAGTGAGGGTCTCGTTCAATTTCATAGGCTTATTTATTTATTTTTGGGTATGGACTCTACACTAGTAGATCGCCACTCCATTATACTAATTAAGATCCATGCATACTATGTATTCGTTATTAATAAAATGTATTATATTAATAATACATAATTATTCACTAGACACAATAAAAAATATTATTAATAATAAAAGTACGAGAATTTAATACATTGATAACATCAAAATATCATAATAATATATTATGAATACTATGATACATGGTTATTATTATTAAGGGAAAAAAAGTTAGGCCAAGTTGCTTATATTCATTAGGTCAAGTTTTTCAAATATCACTTGTTATGTTATTATTGTTATTTGTTAAAATACCTATGTGCCTTGCAAATTCACTTATTAAAACTTGTAGATTTTTGTGTTAGCTATTATAATGCATTGGCCAACAAAAATAGCTATCACTACTAGAAAACACTTTTTTACACCGTCTAATCTATGTCGGTTATTGCGCTAATAGTGTAATAAATGAGACAGTGACATTTCGGTAAATAATGATACAATATTTAGACCAGTTATAATCATGCCCAGTGTCATTATTACTTTTTACATCAAAGGTTAACCCAACAGGTGTAATCTTAATTAATGGGTCAAGATGGTTTTCTGCTGTTTTGCCATTATAAGACTGCCAGTGGTAATAGATGAAGAAGATGAAGAACGAGAAGGATAATTAGCTTCTGAGCTTAAATAGATAGTGACAGGACATGGCTGGTGACTGTTCAAGCTCAAATTACTTCAAAAAAAATAAAAAGTCAAAAGATAAACCGATGTAAAGATTAAAAACATTAGTTATTTCTATGCCCTCAACAATAAGGTCAACCTTCTAATAATATATTATTAATAAAAGTATGAGAATTTAATACATTGATAACATCAAAATATCATAATAATATATTATGAATACTATGATACATGGTTATTATTAAGGAAAGAAAAAGCTTAGGCCAAGTTGCTTATATTCATTAGGTCCTCCCTCGCCTCCGATCCCTTCCTCGCTCCCTTCTGCCTCCTCTGAACCAACTACTTCAAAGAGTAGCGTTGATTGGTCATGGCCTCAGTCGTGTAGTAGCTCATTTCTATGCCCTCAACAATAAGGTCAACCTTCTACTTGATGATAAGCACATCGAGCATGATGACATGGACGACTCCTTTGCTACTTCCCTTGCCTCCTCATTGTTCGATGAAGAAGCCTTCTCTATTGGCTTTTTTTCTTTTATTATTGTAAAAATGTAGTCATTTTTTTAAAATGTATTTTGTAAAGGTAGCCTCCGCCCTACCTCACCAAATATAAATATAAAATGATATTTTGTGATGATCTTGTTTTAACACATTTTTTTGTTGTAAAAGTGTCTTTTTTTTTTGGTTGTCCGATTTAAAGAAAGAGAAGAATTGGTAACTATATTTAAAGTTTACATTTGTTATCTTGTGTTCAATGTAAAATGAGTTTTCAACACCGGTTTCTACGTCAACTTGTTTTAACATTTTTCCCTAGCCATAAATAAGGCCCTCTTGCCCTCAGTTTTGTGGTCTCAAAATATAAAGAGGCGCACTCTCAACTCTAGAGTTATGTGGAGATGGCGTGGAGTGCTCAAGTGGTCTTCTGTCGCTTGCCATTATTGTCACCGTCTATTGCCTTTGTTGTTCTAGTCTCAATGTAGGTATCATCATCGTTGTTTTATTTTTCCATTAAGCTATTTGCCTAAACCTTAATACAAGTGGCTTTCTATTCAAGATTAGCTTTGAATCTATTCATTAAAGGTTGCAATAAGCTGTATGAGGCTTGAGGCATTGTTGCCTTATTTGGTCCATTAAAGAGGATGAGAAACTCTGCCAAGTATTTGTCATTCAAGTATGATAAGCTATGACTTGCAGTACCTTGAATGACTAAATACTTGGTAGAGATTTAGCTCATCCTTGCAAAAAGAACTGGCTTTCTTTTTCTTTCTTCCCGCTGACCATTGATAACTCAACTTCCTTTATTTTCTTTCTTCCTAGTAAGCTAACCCCAATACTAATTAGTTCTTAACTACTAGACTACTTTGTGTTTTCCCAGTTTTTTTTGTTTGTGACAACAAATTTAGTCATCAGAAGAACTAGCTAGTATAAGAAAATTAAATAAAAAAGATCCACTTCTTAGACCACCAGTCTAAGTAGACCTTTTTTTATTTTAAATTTTCAATGTTTACACTAATTGGTACAATAACTACTATCGAAATCATAGTTTTCTACACCGATGAGGAAATCGGTGTAAAAAGGTGCCAACTTTTAACATTGCTTGTTTCTACACCAGTTGTCTTTCCGATGTTAAATGCCCATTCTAACCGGTGTAAAAGATCTTTTTTCTAGTAGTGTATTATAATGCAAATTATAATTTTTAAATTTTTATATGGATACTTGTTATTTTGTTATTGTTAATTGTTAAAACGCTATGTGCATTTATAAGTTCACTTATAAACTTGACTTAATGGATATAATTCACCTAAATTTTGCCGTTGTTATTACTTTACTATTAACATTATTTTATGTCTATCTCGTATGTAGGCACCATAACTTTTGTTATTCACCAGCTTTTTGTTATTTAGTGATAAATATCAAGAATTTGAGAATTTAAGTACTACCCAGTTAACATTTATCATCGGTCCTAAAAAAGGTTAACGTTTATTATCAACTTACGTATTTAAGTTCCAAAGAATAAAAAAGAAATATGTCATCTTTTTTTTTTTTTTATTTCTCTTGATATATATAATGAAAAAAATTTCTATTAGATAAAACTGAAAGAATTGATGAACTTTTTCTCAGAATATTTTCCAAGAATATAATTCTCTTGTCCTAGAATACGTGGGAATGTAATGAAATTTAATGGTTGAGAATATAATATAATGTGATAATGATTATAACGAAGTTGTTTGGTATAACATTAAGAATAGTAAAATTAAATTTAGTATTTATATTTAATGAAATACTGTTAGATTTTGGGCTTGGGATCCGCCCTTGATGGGTCGGATTATTTGACCAGGTATAAAGAGAATATATCAGTCAAATATCCAAGCGATATTGTGATATGTTTGACTTGGTCAAACACCCTGAATCATATCCAATCGGTTACGATATAAATCTAATTAATTTATATTAAATTAATTAATTTATATTGTGTAGATTAAATATATATTAAGTATATATATTTAGAATTAATTGTGATTGATTCTGGATTTAAATTCAAATATCATGATATTATGAGATAAGGATATATTATATCTTATCTCAGATTTTATCTGATGGGCTCAGTGGATATTTTTATGCTATCCAAAATATCCCTGACAAAAGCTATAAATATAGGCTTTCCCCCATCAGTTCAAATCACTCCAGTAGTATAGCTTTCCTACTATATATATATATATATATATCTTTCTCTTATTTTCTTTCTTGCAAAAGAGGTGCTCTGCTGTGCACTTAAAAGTTTAGACTTTTATAGTCTAGCTTAAGCGTGAGCTAAGAAGATCCGACCAACCCGACCCGAGATCCAACCGATATGTTTTCGATCCATTATCATATTATTCTTACAAATACAAATAAAACTAAAACAAATACAACACACATATAATTATATATAGAATATTCGATTATAGTGAATCTCAAACAGAGGTATTGATGCAAGCTATGCTACATCAAATTCAATACAAATTAAATAAGTACCACGTCAAAAAAGAAAACCAAATAAAACATCTCGGAATATATCCATACAATTTTTTTATTTATTTAATAATATAATAATAATCTATAAAGCGCTCAATTATTTTTGTAGTAGGCATCATTGATTAACCACGAAATGGCTTCTGAAGGTAGTCAATTATTTTCTGGTCCACTTGGAAAGCCTTTTGCAAAACTTGAGAAGAGATGGGTGGATCAGAGCCAAACACAGCATCTGCAATAGTGATCACTCCAGCATTTTGGCTACTGAGACCTGCAATGGCAACAGCATTGCCATAACCCACATTCTGTTGGAAGTGAATGAGACCAATTGGAAACACAAACACATCTCCTTTGTTAAGCATTTTGGTGAATAATCGATTCCCATCTTGATTAGACGTCACAAATCCTACTAGAAGAGCTCCTTCGATCACTACAAGGATCTCGGTGCCACGTGGATGAGTGTGAGGAGGGTTCAATCCCTTTGGCGCAAAGTCAATGCGAGCAAGAGAGATTCCGAGAGTGTTTAGTCCATACAGCATGTTTACATCTACTGCAGTAACGTTTGAGCCATTAGGATTCGACGTGTCTCCGGCTTTGTCCAGCCCAGAAAAGAGGAAGTCCTCAGCTTTCACAGCCTTTGGGTCCTTGCAGAATTTCCCATTCACAAAAACTGCAGAATTAAGAGATAAGCTAGTAAATTATTTTTGCTAAAACAACAGTAACGGGGTCAAAATATGCCAAAATTAGTATAACTTGCTCTCTACAGTAAGTTTAGAAGTTGAGCATTTATATATATACCTCCTGGAGTGGCTGTGTCTTTGAGTGCGACGCAGAAATCTTGAAGAGGACTTGGGTCATATGCAAGCGCAAGAGAAGAAGCAAATGCCAAGAGGCTAACAACAAAGTACACAGCTCTCATCTTGTGTGTATATATCTCTACGATCCCTACCTCTTTCAGTTCTCTCTGTTTATGAGTTTATGAATGAACCTTAAAAGCTATTTATAAGGAGAAGTCATTGATGTGGTCTTGAGTTTGCTTGCACGAAATGAATAAGACTCAGTATTTCTTCATCTGCAACTTTTTTATTCATTGGATCGGAGTTGTGACCCTTTCTTTACCAACTACATGGCTATTTCTACGTCTTTCAAATCCCTGTAGTTATGAGCTTGGACTTTGAGGTTTCATGACCAATCTATATGTTTAAGAAGGAACAAGAAAACTAAACTTCAGCGGAATCTTCTTCTAGTTGGGTGTAGCTTTCCTTAGTGTTCTATCATGACGAAGAAAATGGCTATTGCAAGGAAACTTTTGTTTATTAATTATATTTTTTTATGTCATTGAATTAGTTATTGGAATCAATCAGTAAATATCTAAATCTTTGCATTGAATGAGTTAATTAAGTTTTCCACTTTACCTTAAACAAGAACTATCGTTTATGTTTTTTACCACCTTAGGTGCTGTTGTATTGTTCTTTAATTTGCTTCCAGGCAGCAAAATAAAGACTCAGTATTTCTTCACCTCCAAATTGACCCTTATTTTACTAACTACGTATATGCATGCATCTTTTCCCTCATTAATTAATTTATTAAGATGCCTTATTTTGACCTTTTCTTGCTATTTTCTACGTGAGTATTGAACAAGCTTCTAATCAGTACTTACTTCAAGATTTTAGTTTGGACTTCGCGGTTTTATGGCCAATAGCTATATGTTTAAGAAGGAATTGAAGAACCCTCTTGGGTGCAATATTTTCTAGGTGTGTGTAGTGGTTGATGAAATTTTCCAATCAATATTTTATTGCTTATTATATTCTTCCATCCTCTGGCTAGTTAGTTGATTGAATCAATCCGAAAATATTTAAACCTGTGCATCAATCAGCTAATTATGTTTTTATTTGATGTAAAATGAAATTAGCACTTTTTATTAAACAAGGAGATAATTTTTTTTTTAGCCCTTTTAACATCCTAGGTGATGCCATATTGGTTTGGTTAATTGCAGATTGTCCTCATCGGCAGTTCTATCCAGAATGAAATTTTAATTTTTCATTTGAAATCGAAAGAAAAAATTACAATTTGTATAATAGGTGTAAATTACATAGTTAGTAAACAAAGAATAAAAAGAAATAATCAAAAATTAAAATAACACATATTTGTATGTGTGTACGTGCGCACGCATAAAATATAAGTGGAACGTTAAGTAATATAAATAAATTTTAAAGTAATACAATGATAATTAAAAATAACAAATACATATAAAGATAATCTAAATTTCCCGTGCTTTTTTTGGGAGGTTTTTTTTTTCTTTTTTTGTCAAATGGGAAGCGGTGTTTTAAGAACAAATCTTTTATCAACTTTAGAGTTCGGTAAACAAAATGGGTATCATATGAAGATTTTTAATTAATTAAGGGTTTATTTAGTGCATTAAAGTATTTAGTAGTTGAGTCAGCACCTTGAAATATTTTTTACCTTAAAGTATTTTATAGTTTATCTAGCATTTTAAATTATTTTGTAGTTTATGCAGGATCCTGAAGTATTTTTCTAAGTATGTGCAGCACCTAAATTAGGATGTTTGACCATTTAGAAAAATACTTCAAGTTATTGGATGAATCACAAACTGCTTTATAGCGTTGAAGAACCTTAGCCCATTACTTAAATAGCAATTTCTTTTTGGACAAAATTTAGGTCAAATTATGCTTATATTCATGAGGTCAAATTATGCCCTTGACTTAATTTTTCACATCCACTTAAGTAGCCAAGGCAACACGCGGAGTGGATCTTACCCTAAGAAGAGCGAAACTGGTCAAGAGTAATGGGAAAGTATTATAAGGTAGACACGTAAACTCCTCAAACTTAACAGGGTACTGTAGTATGGTGACAATTAATGAAAACATGATGATATAAGCCACCTCCCGATACTGCTTCGAAATGACAAGAGGCAGCAAAGACTACAGAGTCCTAAAGTATAGGGTAGGTTAGCATTAACAAAAGATAAGCTAAGAGGCTCTAGAGGTGGGCCAATGTCTAGAGATTCAAAAGGCACAATAAAAGGGAAGATAGCCTAAAATGGCTAAACTCAAAGGGTAAGGAAATATAAAAAGGCTAAGAATTTCGAAGTTGATAGGAAGTATCAAGTAAGGTCTAAGCAGGCAATACTGGTGTCTGTGATCAATCTTAGGGAATAATCAGTCAAGTTATCTATGGAGTGGAGGTGACTTATTTTATTACTCAGTCCCGTAGTCTAAAATCTCCTAGAGATCTTCACATGGCAGATGACAATGATGATGACAATGGTAGTGGTGATGACAATGGTAATAACAAGAATGACAAGGATAATATTCCAGGGTCACAGTAAATCCTGAAGAGGCTTACAATGGAGCACAGTGGCTCCCAAGGTCGCGTTAGACCAAGCCTAAAGGGGAGATGCTAAGCTGAGAGGGTGATGCCTCTCAAGGTATGAGTATGAGATGATATGCTAAGCCATGAGGGTGATTCCTCTTAAGGCTTGATAGCGGGATGACGAGGGATGAGTTTAAGATACATAAGCCCCCTCCAGTAGTTAACTAGTACAGAGAGAGTACCCTTGATTTTTTCACAGATACCATTATTCTCAATTAGGCCAAGAGTTATAAGTCCTGAACAGTGTGCATTCAGGCAAGTTAATTGTGAAATGAAAAGGTTAAAGAGGAAAAATAGACCTTTAATGTAAAGAGAAAGATGACTGAATATGCCAATATACCTATTAAAGGCAGACATTGCCTGTGATAATAATTACCATTCCAACGTATAGACGGCTTGTGTGAAGCCTTAGAGGGCAAAAAGTGTCGATGACCACCGTGTTGGACTAATTAACTAAGGGTAAGAAGAATTTATAGTCCAAGGATGATAAATCAAGTTTGAGGGTAAATGATTGACAACAATTGTCAACAGCACAAAGTAGACAGAAAAGCTATGTGGACATCAAAAGGAAGCCATTATAGGTTGTAGTTGGAGATACTTAACCACAGGAATGGGTCAAACCCCTAAGGCAAAATAGTTAACACCGAAGACCCTTCCAAATTTTGTTAAAGGTTAAGTCGGTAGTTGGCCCTATCCCTTAATCCTGACCAAATATATGACGTCTTTCATGTTTCTCAACTAAAAAAGTACCAGCCAGATCCCTCTCATATTTGGAATATGAAGACATAAAGTTGCAAGATAACCTCACTTTTGAGGTATAACTAGTAAAGATCGTGGATCAACAAGCTAAGCAACTGTGAAATAAGACCATTTTAATGGTCAAAAGTGATCTGGAAAGGTTTGACACAAGAAGAAACAACATGGGGGAAAAGGAAGACAACATGAAGAGCAGTTACTCAAAGCTCTTTATCCAAGATATGTTTTAAATTTCGAGGATGAAATTTATTTAAGGGGGAGGAAATGTCACATCCTTAAAAAATTAACCCTGGCAATAGATGTTAAAAATTAAGTCAAGGGCCAATATGGAAGGTGGACTGGCTGACAAAGCTAGGCATGATATAAAACCTGGATAGGGTTCGGACTGATATTTTGGAATTATTGGTCCAGGAAGGGCAAAATGGAAAAATTAGAGAAAAATTCTAGAAAATTCCTAGAAAATGGTAAAAAGGTAAATTAGAGGTTTTGAAGCCTCAATTGAGGCTCTAGAGATGAAAATGGTGCGAAAATAGATTATTACAGAATTTCCTGAAAATGGAGGCTTTTCGAGAAAAATAGTGGAAATTGAGTGAAAATAATTATTATAATTATTTAGAGGCGTCAATAATTTCAGAAAAAATGTGGAATAATTATCTAAATATTTGATTGAATTTATAAAATTGATTTCAGGCCCTGAAAGTATAGGAATTTAGTTTTGAAAATTTATTTTCAAAAATCTTACCAATAAAGCCTTGTTCAGAGAAAATTCAAAATGAATAGCTAGAGGTGGAGAAAAATTCTAAAATTTTCCATAATTTATTTGTTATATTTGAAAGGAGTTTTTGATGGAGAAAAATAAATTTTTGGAGGCCCAGAACTATTTTTGAAAATAGTGACTAATATAGTGAGTTTTGGTCAAAAATTGATATTTATGAGTACACCCCACTTTTTCTTCCTTTTTGGATCAAATTTGGTCTTCATTTTGGGCCAAGAAAGCCCAAATATTTTGCGCAAAATATGGCCCAACATTTAAATAGATTTAAGCCCAAATTAAGTTAAAATATCAGTGGAATATTCTTGGAATAATGGCACTTGGCAAGATCAGATTTTTAGACATTAGATGGCAACCACATGGCCATTTTATTGGCCAATTTTCAGCCATAGATTCATAGGGGAGGTTGGCTCAAATTTTTCTATAAATATGTTGTCCATTTGAATATTTTCTGCCAAAAATAGAGAGCCTTGGGGAAGGTGCTGCCAAACTAAAATCTCAAGCTTAAAAGAGAGCTTTAGACCATACAATTGGAGGAGGAAACATCAGGCTTTGATCAAGGATTAATTAAGGTAATTTTGGGCTTAATTTTGGTTAAGTTTAAGGCTTGTTATTGCTAGAAATTCATGTTGTAATCCAAGGTTCACTACCAGAAAAAAGGCTTTTAACAGTGGTTAATAGTGGTTTTTCACAGTGGTTTTGAAGGCGAAGTTGGTACAGTCGATGTTGAAAGGTAGAGAAAACACGGCAGTTGAAAACTACCATGGAAAATTAATTTTTCACAGCGGTTAAGTAAACAACTACCGTAGAAAATTAAAATTCCACGGCGGTTGCATAAGAAGCTACCGTGGAAAGTTATATTTCCACAACGGTTACATAAAAAACCGCCGTGGAAAGTAAACTTTCCATGGCAGTTTGATTTAAATCACCATTGAAAGCTTACTTTCCAAGGTGGTTTTTTATGTAACTGCCGTGGAACCGCCGTTAAAATTTTTTTTTAAAAAAAAAATTCTTCTCGATTTTCATTTTTACCACT